TGATTTCTGCCCAGTGCTCTGAATGTTAACGTGAAGAAATTCAAACAAGCGCGGGTAAACGGCGGGAGTAACTATGACTCTCTTCTCGGAGGGGGTTGTGGTTACGGTTAGAGTCTCGGTACTCAGATGAGATATCGTCCGCGACGCCAGTTCAATGTTTTATTGTTCTGTTTAGCACGTAGCCCCGGGGGGTGAGGACTTGTGTGTATTGAGGTCTGTGAGGTTATAAGCTGATAGTGGACTTGAATATGATGTTCTATGATTACGTTATTGAATATCTTTGAAGTTTGGCTAGCAATGGTTTGATAAGATTCGTTGGATTACCTGTGGCAGTAATACACCGCAATTAATCTTACGCTCCTGTTCAAAAAGGAGCTAGTTAATGAATAAGGTAGACATCGTAATAAAGATCTAGTAGGCATGTTCTGCTGTTGGATATGGCTAAAGCGGAACTTGATCATGTGGGTTAGTAACCTAGCAAATAGACTCATCCAGCTGCACAAGAGGCTAGCAACCTCTGTGTAGTTGTAAAACTCTCTTGCTACAACACGAAATAAAATTTATACGTCACAGGTACACAAAGCTGGTGACAAGCAAGAGAGAAGAAGAAATAGGGATAATAGTGCTGAAAAATCGAATCAGCAGAGTCAAGAGAAGTCTTACTGCTTGTACTATCCGTTGGATGCTAATAGTACTTGTCCAGAATGTAACGACTTATTAGGAGTAAATTTGGCAAACATTGAACAACATCTTAAAAGCCATAATGTTCAAAACTTGGAGTATAAATGTGGAGTATGTAAGAGATCCTGGCCCAGTTGGCGGTCAGTGATTACTCATTATTCTAAGTCTAGTTGTCATAAACAAACTTCTACCACAGCTAGTTCTAGTACAAATGCAAATAATAATAATACTCAAATATCTTCGAATAATGTCATCGATCCTAAGGGAAAACGGGTCACAAAGATAAAAGACAAAGAATCTACGATGATAGCAGTCGTTGATGAGGAATCGGAGACTGACGAAGCCGTAGACAGGGTATTACAACATCAAACGAGCAAGAATATCAAGAAACACCGACATTCTAGTTCAGTAGTACCTAAAAATAAAAGTAAGATGCAAAAAAGTGACTCTGAATACGATATAGAAAGTGACGATGATGAAGATAAGAGTGGTACTCAGAACTCAACGGTTGTAGGAATGAAGGAGACAGGTTTAACTAATAAGAAGAAGACACTAGATGAAAAGGATAATAAATACTATTGTAATCTCTGTGCAGCCGGTGGTTGGGATAAATCGGTTAGCTTATCACAACATATGAGACATATGCACAAGGTTGAGTATAATGCTTCCATTGAAGTTCCGATGACAAAACGACGTTGGACTAAAGATGAAGTTTTAATACTAGCAGAATTTGAAGCGAAAATCCCACCCGGTGGTGGTAAATCCATTAATCAAATTCTAGTTGAAAAGTTTTCTACTCGAACGCTTGAGTCCATCAAATCACGTCGTAAAATGAAAGAGTACAGAAATTTGGTGCAACAACTACGCGATTGTCATGCATCACAAACTATCGAGGGATTAGAATGTACAGAAGGGTCTTCAGATGTAAATAACCTTACTGTCGTGAATGATAGTATAATCGTAGAAGAAGACAATGAAACTAATCCTGACGACAGAGATATTACTGTACTAGGAACTGATGGTACTACCTACCCCAATATACAACAATACATTAAAGAGAAGATAATTGAGGGTAGGGTTCGAATGTGTACTACAATGGTTGAAGCCTTGTCGCATTATGTCAATGACGATGTACGTACTGACCCAGTGGAAGAATCACTAAATGGAATACGTGAAGCATTAGAAAGTATTCATTCATCTAAAACGCACATAGATGAAAAGGTAAACGCTGGGAGTAAACTTCGTAGTATCAAAACAAAACAAAAGGTACACAAGTTTTCTCATTACCAACGTTTATTCAAAAAGGACAAATCAAAGTTAGCGTCAGAAATCTTTGATGGTGTTGACGATTCTGCAGTCAAACCACCCATGTCCGTTGCACATGAATATTTTCGAAAGATCTGGGAAGCTGACACAAAAGATACCGGCACGCTAGAATACAAAGCCTCGGTAGGAGCTGACGTTCTTCTCGGACCAATAACACGCGAGGAGATTGCCTGGGCTATAGATCAAACAAAGAATCAAACAGCTGTCGGTCCAGATCACGTGTCATTAAGTGATGTTCGAAGTATAGCAAAGAATGAGTTATGGTGTGCATACAACATCTGGATTGGTTTAAGAAAGATTCCTGAATCACTTAAACTCAATCGAACAGTGTTGTTACCAAAAGGAAAGGACGGCCTCGAGAACATCAAAAATTGGCGTCCAATAACCATAGCTTCTATAATACTTCGAATATACAATAAAATACTGGCACGCAGGATGCAATCCGTATTTCGCACTAGTTCTAAGCAGACTGGTTTCAAACCAGTGAACGGTGTAGGTCAGAATGTAGCTATCCTTCACAATCTATTGAGACATGCGCGTACTCATAAGAACAATTTATTTGTGTGTCTACTAGATGTGAGCAAGGCCTTTGATTCAGTACCACATACATCTATCATACGTGCACTAGCTAGGAATGGTTGTCCAAGTGAATTCATCGACATTATTAAAAATGAATATGAGAACTCGTACACAGCATTATCGTGTGCGGATGGAAACTCACCATTGGTATACATAAAGAGAGGTGTTAAACAAGGCGATCCGATGTCATCTATCCTATTCAATCTCGTCATCGATGAACTCTTCGGGATAATAGGTGATCGTTTTGGATACGAACTCGAAGGCGTCGGAAGGGTTAACGCACGCGCCTTTGCAGACGACATTGCATTAATTTCAGGATCTGAAATTGGTATGCAGGAACTTCTTTCGACAACGGAAGAGTTTCTAAGTGCCAGAGGTCTTGAACTTAATGTGGATAAGTGTATTGCTATAGGTCTTAGGAAAGCGGGTAAGGTTAAAAAGTCACAAATCGTTGACTCATCCGTAAAAAATCCACCATCTTTTACGGTTAAAAATAAACCTATCCGACTATTAGGTATAAAGGAACAATGTCGTTATTTAGGAGTTCGATTCACACCTTTCGGAGCAGTTGATCCAAGAGAACCAGTGGCTGAACTCAAATCAGCATTGGCATCATTAAAAAAAGCACCGTTAAAACCGCAACAGAAAGTGTTGATGCTTCGGATGTATCTCATTCCGCGATTCATCTTTTCATTTATCAATACGGAATGTTACCCGAAGCTAATAGGACAACAAGATCGTCTTATTAGACGGTGGCTTAAAGAAATACTTCGACTGCCCCAATCAGTATGTACTGAGTTTTTCTATCAACCAATAAAAGATGGAGGCCTAGGCGTGGGGAAACTATATGACACAATAGGTATCGCTAAGGTACGTCTTCATGGTTCGTTTACTCGAGCTGGTGATGAATGCTTACGTTTTCTTGTCGAAACACAGGGATCCAGTATGCATGCACGCTGGTGTCATGCCATGAAGCTTAGCACCCGCCCTTCAGCCGTTGACATCAACGCAAGGTCAGTTCTCACCATCGATGAATCTCGTGTTCGACTATCTGAAACAGTGCACGGCAGCGGCAGTGAAATATTCAGAAACAGTCCTATAACCAATCAATGGTTATCAGGACATACAAGAATAATGAAAGGAAGTACGTTTATCAGAGCTATTCAGATGCGTACAAATACAACACCGACCCTCGTCTCTACTACAAGAGGTCGCGATGTTAATAAAACATGTCGCCGCTGTGGTCTTGCAGATGAAACCTTAATCCACATTCTCCAAACATGTCCTATCACACAGGGCATGAGATGTCGAAGACATAATAATGTTTGTCGAAAAGTATCAGATAAGCTCCGTTCGAAAGGATTCCAAGTATTCCAAGAACAAGGTATTCCTTCACCACAACTGCAGACTAACATATCACGGCCCGATCTAATCGCAACTCGTGGTGAACAGGCACTTGTTCTGGATGTAACGTGCGTCTTTGAATCGAATAACAACAGTTTTCAAGACGCGTATCGACGTAAAGTGGATCGTTACAAATGCTTGGCTGAAACTATTAAAGTAAAGTATAAAGTTAATGATGTCACCTTTCATGGTCTATGTATTGGAAGTCGTGGTGCATACGATCCGAGACATCTTTCAATCTGGCACTCTATTGGTTTTTCCGGTGCTGAACTGGCAATACTTGCGATAGGAGTGATCGAAGACTCTCTGAGGACGATTACCTTGTTCAACAATGCTAACAGATTACATATCTAATACTTTGGTACGACGATATGGAAAAGGAAGTATTTGGACAAGTAATCAGTGGTGAAGAGGTAGAAGAAAGACCGGAATTGGTGTTATGGGTTGGTGTTTGGTAATGGTTGTGGTTGGTGATTGATGTTCACAACGGCGACAAATTCACGGCGGCAACGTCATCATCTTTTGAAGCTCCTCACGGAGTGGAATATATGCGACCCTCGGTGTTTGTCAATGGTGTAAATATTCTTTCCGGTGATGGTGTTAATAGTGGTTTTCAATATTCATCTTTTTACCTAGTTAATGTAATTTTTCCATCTTTGTCATCAGTTTTTAATTTCTACTCTCACTTGTAAATTCTCTCTATTTCTTATTCTTTTTTGTACTTGTCGTCACGGCTACGGCTGGGCGTCAAGGTCTTACTTGCGGACCATGTAAATGCAAGAAAGTTTTAATAAATTTTTAGCCAAATGCCTCGTCATCTAGTTAGTGACGCGCATGAATGGATTAACGAGATTCCCACTGTCCCTGTCTACTATCTAGCGAAACCACAGCCAAGGGAACGGGCTTGGACTTCAATGCGG